CTGGGGGTCGCCAGCCGACATTGCTTGGCCGACGGCACCCTGAGGAGACCCACTCTGTGGGAGCGTACCGGTCTATGGGAGGGAATCTGTGGCAGAAGGCGGTCTCGGAGGTAGCCAGGTCCTATGCCATGGAGCGCTTTAAAGGTGGTAACTAACACCTTAAAGCGCACCCGGAAGGCCACTGGGAACCAGTGCAGCTTGCGCAGCAGCGGCGTTACATGGGAGTGACGAGTCCCTCCCAACACCGCCCGCGCGGCCGCATTCTGGACCAGTTGAAGCCTCCGGGTGCTCCTCAAAGGGAGCCCCATATAGAGTGCATTAGGATGCACTTCAATCTTAAACAAACCTCCAAATGTGCTACTGTGAATACTGATGAACAATCTTGGTATACAGGCAGTCCTCAACTTATGACCACAATTGAGCCCAAAATTTCCATTGCTAAGTAAGACAGTTGTTAAATGAGTTTTGCCCGATTTTATGAACTTTCACAAAAGGGGATCAAAAGGCTAGTTGCCAAGTATCTGAATTTTGGTCACATGGACCATGGGGATGCTGCAATGGTCGTAACTGTGAAAAACAGCATTTTTTTTCCCACTGCCATTGTAACTTCAAACAAATGAATGGTTGTAAATCAAGGACTACCTGTACTTCAAGAAATGAGGCTGAGAATTTTCTCAGACTTGACCAAAGAGAAGGAAAAGCTGTTGGAGGGCAGAAAGTCTACAACATGTTTTAGGCAGTATGGCAAGATAACAGCTTCAGAATCTTAATTGAGTAATTAGGAGCTTTCTTAGAACTATTAAGATGGCTTTGAACATGTGAAGTGAGGAATTCTATATGAATCTGATGGAAATGTAATTGTCAAAAACTAATTTTGAAATGGGAATGTGAGGTCAGATCCACTCCGACGCTTTTAGCCTTCTGAAAGCCCTTGAAGTCATGGTGATGACAACAACCTGGGGTCCCAATGGGAGTGTGACATGTTGGAGGTAGCTAATGAGCACCTCATCTCCTCTCTGTGCATGCTTTGCTTCCTCCCTTTCCATCCCGATTAGTTTTATTTTAATTGATTTTTTTTTTTAAAAAAGTAAGCTCTTTATTGTTTTAATGTTTTACTTTGGACTTTATTCAATTTTTGTAGGCCACCTAGAGTCGTGAGTGGGTGGCATACAAGTTTGATAAACAAACAAACAAATAAACTAACTAACTAACTAACTCCAAATTATTTTAGCTTAGAGTTAAGCCACATATGCTAAACATCAGAGAATAATGAGATCTTTTTTATTTTTCCTTAGCCACACATAAATACACAGAGATTCACTTCTCCCTTCCTCCTCTACCTTTGTTTTTTTAAATCCAATCTAAGTATTGGTAGGGAATTTAAGCCTTCCCCGCAAACAAAGACAGTGTTCTTGCTCTATTATAAATAAAATCCAGAAGGCAATCATGCATTACATCTTTAATGTATTGAATAGTTTCGCCCTAAGTTACATGGAATGTGGCTGAATTTATGCATACATATATTATCAGGGCTGTGAAAAATTTGTTTGCTGACTCTCAACATGCTTTTTTTCTCCAGGAATGAGCTAGTAGGCATATTAATATACAAGCAATTTAAAGAGTACTCAGGAGAATAGCGTTATCAGTGTCAGACAGTGATTTGATTTGGGTAGACAGTGTTTAATATTGAATCCCTTCTTTTTCTCTAGAGATTTATTTTAATGCTCTGCAAACTTTTACATAAAATTATAACTGATCTTTCAAAATATTTTTCAACAAATTTTAATAGATGTTTTTAAAACCAAGAGCAAAAACTTTCTGGTAGTTAGAAAATCTAAAAAATTTAGAAATGAAGAGAAAATGTGCATATATTTCCCACCATTTTCTTCTCTGAATTGCTATTTTATTATTACTATTATTACATACTGTAGATGTATATCCTATTTTGCAGTAGTTCAAGGTAATGTGTATTTAAATTGTCCATACCACAGCTAAGTTTTTTTCTATTTCGGCTGATATGCTATTTAGTTCCAGGTAACAAAAAAAAAACCCAGAAACATTAAAATCATGATAAACAAAACAATATTCTCTAATATTTCCTCACCCAAACAAACCTACCTTGCACATCAGTCAGTACAAGTTCTGGTATTAATTGGGGTTTATATAAAACAACTCCACTTTTTCTGTTCTTGTTGAAAATAATTCTTCCCCCAATGTTTATAAATTTATATTTTATTTCTAATATATGTTTCTTGTAGGCAAATTATTTTTTTTTCAAATAATTATTTTTCTCTCCAGGAGAATTTGCTTCAGTTATATAGTACATTAACCATTTGCAATCCATAATCAGGCCCAAAATTTAGGGGGGAAATGTAGTGCCTAGTTCAGTGAAATCCCTTTTGGTTTCTCATGTCCCATGTAGAGCTTTTGTTTAATTTCATCTAACACCTCCATTTGAATCTCTCCTCTTCAATATTTTGTATAAATTTCCTTGCCTTCTGGTCAGGTTCAATCAAAATCTTTGCTATTTAAAAGTACAAATCACATCTTTCAATTTTTCCAATTGAAATGGATTTTTTTCTGCTTTAATTTCTCACTCAGAAAAAAAAATATTCTTTTGTCTTGTAGGATGTTTTTAAGATCAGTTATATATGTATTATCAGTCTTCAATAATGCTGCTGCAAAACTTGTTCATTTATCTTCTTCCTGACATAATGTACCAAAACATTCCTTCTGGTGAGGATTCATGGTGAACTAAGCAACTCTGAATTCTGGCTGTTGCACTCTCTACAGCAGGGATGTCAAATTTGCAACATCACGTGACATGTCACGACATATCGTGACTTTTTTTCCATTGCTGGCAATGGGGTGGGCGTGGTTTCGGCATGACGCATGATTTTGACACCCCTGCTCTACAGAAAAAAGAGAGATTGCCCACTTCCATTCTGGATAGCTGGCCTTCTTTGATAGATTATAGGAGCTGAGGCTTTTGTAGTTGGTTTGTTTATTGGGTGACTGGAAGTTGAGGAACTTCAAACAATGCAGCCACAAAGCAGCTGAGATGGACATGTGATTCAAATGAGCATCATTTTTAAACATTTTCAGATATAATTAATTTACCTCTAAAGAGAGATTTTTCTGAGTAGCAGGAAAAGAAAATTCCACTTAATAATTATCAAAATTCTTTCTGAATTATAAAGAAGGGGGGAAAGGTTTAGTTTTTTTTTAAATGTAAGAACTTTTGGCAAAAAGGTTATCAACAAATGGCCGTAAGAAAGTTTAATATGGATAATTAGTAATTTTGAAAGATTATTTCTTGGTGAAAATGCTTTTGAAAAAACTGGATTAATATAGAGAATGGAACCTTTTTTTTGTTTACAGTTAAAGAGAGTAAGCAGGCAATTGGTAAAGTTCACATAAAGGTAATAGGAATTAGACTGTGATGCTGCCTGTAGCTATAGAGATACTGACTATGATGTTTGGCTGTAACTATGGAGTGCCATTTGAGACAAAAGTATTAAGAGCGGAGGAAAGCAAAATAGCAAGCCTAAAGGATACCATAATATCATAAAGATAATTAAAGCAGCTGCTTCAAGATGTACCCACTATTCTGGAACAACTGCTTTGTTAAACTTCTGCGTACATAAATAAGTGAAAATTGTAATTGTATATAAATGGCTTTTTGTGCAAAGGTAAAGGAAAATTCCCCTTTATTCATAGTACTTCATGGCCAAATACAGATGGAATTTTGAACAACCGTACAGATGTGGTATGATATTGACTTATTCCTGATCATGATTTATCACTTGTTGCTTGTATGTACAGTGAGAGCTTATGCATCGGAGACAAATTCCTTGTGTGTCCAATCACACTTGGCCAATAAAGAATTCTAATTCTAATTTCTTTTCTTCCCTGTATAGTCTTAGCCCCAGTATTGTTTGGTCATTTTCTCATTCAAGTAATAATCATGTACTTACTTGTTCAAGGTCAGCTGGCTGGCTTAGATCTGAAAGAACAAATAAACTAATTTATTTATTTTATTTATTGCTTAAATTTGCATACCACTCACCTCTATGTTTAAACCTGATGTGTTTGGGAAGAAATAAAAGTTATTTATTCATTTCCAAAATGAATGTTCCATGTATGATCTGTATGTTCCATGTATGATCCATCAACCAATAAGTGGCTATGTGTAAATGTTATACGTAAATGTATATGTATATATTAAAAACAAAGAAACTAAAACAAAATTTATACATACATACATACATACATATATTTATATATGATAGAGTGAAGAAGTGAAGAGAGAAAGAGTGAGATTATATTAGACTGTATAAAAAAATAGTGTTGTATGTGCTAGTTTATATCTTGCCACCCTTCATATTCAAATACATGGATTTTTGATTATCACAGAGAAATCTTAGCATCTTTTAAAGGTCCATCTTTTCTCCCCTACTTCCTCTTTGGCTGAGTTAGTATCTAAACAATGCTATTCTGCATGGCCAAATTTGATAAGTGGGATTGTAGAGGACGTTTAAATAAATCAATTCCTCTTATGTATAAACACAATCAAAGCACAGCTTAATAAATATGACATCATGATAATAGCATGGTTCTTGGCAGGCATCTCTCCACAATTTTGACGGAAGATACTAGGTGCTTAGCAACTCACCATCCATATAAAAAGTGAACAGAGAAAGAAATTACACCAAGACATGCTTTTCAACATCAATTATGCCAAGGAAACCATTGAGTGGTTTACACTTTGCTCAGTGACAGAGAGATTTCAAAGTCAAACAAGGATCCTGCTGAAGGAGAAAATAAAAGTCATGTTTACACATTCCAGTTATTCCAACAACACAATGAAAATGCAAATGTATAAAAAGGGCTATTATACAAATTTTAAGTCTGAACAGCCCTACAATATTATAGGGACGAAAATAGGGAAGCTGAAATAAAAAGAATGTATGCACTTTCAACTGAGTGAACATTCAATATTATTTTACATAAACACAGAGAGAAGTATTGGAGTACAACTCCAATAATTATATACTAGTGTATAATGGAAGATTGTTAGGAAGCGGAAGGCACTAACTACTAAGCAATGTAACTGAGATATCCTATAACTTTTAATTTTCAATTTATTCCTGTAGCCAAAAGGAGGAGAAATTGTTTGGAGTTTGGTGCCGATCATGACATTTGAAGTATACAGAAATGGCAACTGGTGTAAAATGTGGCAGCCGGGCTGTGAGCCAGCATAATAAGTCCAGCTTGTAATAATGAGAGAGCTGCATTGGTTGACAATTGCTTTCCACAGTTTAAGATGATGGTCTTTAAATCTATGATACACTTAGAATTCTTTTTCCCCATTAGTCTTAGGCCTCATTCTTCCAATCCAGCATTATGAAATGGTTCCTACAATTGTGGGCCATGGGCTAATCGCACCACTTCTCCTTCTTTTTCCTTCCCAGTCCAAATGTTCTTGAGATCTTTCCCCATACTCAACATCGTTCATCTTTGAAATGGATCGACAAGAACCAGTCAAGTGATTTTACTGGCCCCAATGTCAGGTAGTTAAAGAGACATACATACATGCATACATGTGCACTCACACACAAATATATATATATACCATATATCATATATCATATACCATATCTATATATCTATATCATTGTATTTATATCTATCAAATAAAAGGTTGAGGGGGAATTCCTTAGGACTGGTTTTTCAAGCTATGGAACTTGACAGATATAAAGAAAGGAGGTTTGTTTGTTTGTTTTTTTGAAAGAGAACTATTCACATTACAACCTTCATGAAATTTATTACTAGATTTTGTTTGGTTTCAACATTCTTCTTTAAAAAAAAACACTCCTTTTTTTTGGTAATATGACACATCAGTTTTAGCCTGTGTCAGGCCTGCCCTGACTTGATCCTCTAGACAAGAAAGACCCTCAACTCCATTTGTAGTGAAAGGTATACTTTACTAAAAGCCAAGTGGTTTACTGTATAGCAAAGTTCGTGCGCCAAACTTTCCTGGTTAACTTTCCCCATCCAATTCCTTTGCTTTGCTGGTCCCTTATTGTCCAATTATATTTGAATAAATTGTTTTGAGAACTGTCTCTTCAACAGCGGGCTGGTTGGTGAGTTGTTGAATTCCATTCCAAGACTTTGACCTTGAGATGGTGTCTCTGGAAGGTATGATGAGTAGCTAGCTTTCACCCCTCTTGACTGGCTCTCTCCCCCTATAGTTCATGGCAGACTGGCAGCTAGAGAATATGAAGCTCAAGCGTATGATGGAAGTTCTGACTGTGGTTGGAAGATTTGCGACAAAGATATAAAACAAGGTTTAATTTGAGTCTTCATACATGGAGTCTTTTCATTTTTTTCCCCATAAATGTTTATGTACAGGGATCCCTAATGAGAGGCATAACACTCTGGACCTTTTTTTAAAAAAAAAAATAGGACAATATAATGTGATTCATCCTTGGTATACCATTATTTATTTCAATGGTGCTACTATCTACAGTTAGAAGGCTCTGTTGAAAATACAGGAAATTATAGAATGTCAATAAAGACATACTCTGGAAACAATTTGATTATTTTGATAAACTTTAGGATTGTAAAATTATACTATATTTCTACTTATTTATACCAATACAATTTTAAAGTACAATATAACCAGCAACCAAAAAGCAGCAGACTGAAACAGAATTTAAAAGATTTAAAGATTTAGGAAAGGAAAACAGATGATGTTAGGGAAAATAATTCATGAGGATATTTTAGAATTAAGATAATTCTATTTTATCTGCTATAGCATCTTTGGGAATTTTAGAAGGGCAGCTCTGAAGATAATCTCAGGATGGTAACTGCATGAGAATAGGGATTTGTGAGATTAGTTATTTTCAGATAACTGCTTTCAAGTTAAATGTAACTAGCAGACTTTAAAGCTCAACCAGATTTTGAACTGGAGATTGATTAGAAATTAATGATATAAATTAATAATTTAATAAAATTAAATTCCATGAAAGTGCTAAAGGACATCATCAGGCCTCTTAGCCCAATCCCTTTCATTTGTAAGGTAAAACCAAATTTACTATCTATATAGTGGGAAGGGAGAATGTAAACATGATCAATAAAAAAATTATACATCACTGTTAGGGTCTTTGCTATGCCTGAAATTTCCACTGTATAGTCATCCAGAGTTAGAACATATGTCAACATAGTTTTCCCTCGAGAATTTTTGTTTTACTACCTGAATAAAAAGGATACAGGGAAAAATTAAAAAAATGCCAGGTAATAATAAAGAGAATGCCATGAATAGGAAAAGAATACAAGTGCTATTTAGCTTCTTCTTGTGGTGCTTCTATTACAATAGGTATTCCTAAATTTCCTAAGGAGAAGATTGACCCCATTGATGTAGAACATGGTGATGCAATGGTTTTGCACTGCAATCCTCCCAAAGGCATCCCACCACTGCACATTTATTGGATGAATATTGGTAAGTATATGTCCTTTCCTCCTGACATCATTACAAATGGAATCTCTCTGCAAAAGTATTTCTATAATTTGAATTTAATTAAAATTGCATGTGGTTTAACAGAATGCAGTAATAAACTGAAAATTACAGATAATGAATTAGAAAATGTTAATGCTAAACTTAAAAGACAGTTGCAAAGATTAATTGCTGTTCATTAAAACACTTACTAATCTTACATCTTGGAAAAGGAAAATATAATGAATTATACTTGGATTTCATTCAGTGAATCACATTTATGTATGTATCCACATTTATGTATGTCTCAAAGCAAATGAAGTTCTTGGTTTGAGTGTTGATTTTCTCTAAAATTCCTAAGTGAACTTTTTCTAGCTCTTTTGCACTTTATTTTAAAATGGATTAATTTCCTCCCTTCTCCCTGGGAAATCTAACAAATAATAAAAACCTAGCTTGTGAACATGAAAAATATTTACTACAAATAAGAAAACAACTTATAAGAATTGTGGTAAAATCAGAAAAGCCTTAATACAAAACCCGTTTACATAGGAATAAGAGTGGTGTGAAAGATGGTTATTCTACTTGAGCTTCCTAAAACCCTTATCTTTTAAGAGGCCCATCCAGGTCATGGAAGCTGTGCCCTTCAAACAGGTGTAGCCATTTCAGTAAATACATTTTGGGTGATGAAGAAGAAGGAATCAGCATATGGCAGTGGTGGTGAACCTATGGCACGGGTGCCAGAGGCGGCACTCGGAACCCTCTCTGTGGGCACATGTGCCATTGCCCCAGCCTTGCCTCCACTCGCGATCCCCTTCTCACCAGCAGCCTCCCTGGAGGAGAGTCGCCCCTGAGCATGGCCCACACAGATCAGCACAGCCAAGGACATGGCAGCCAGGCAGTGTAGATAAGACTCTGCTCTCACACCCCAATGCGCACAGTTGATGCTGCGGGGGGTGGGCAGAGGGTGTGGCCGCCATGGTGCTGCTGGGCTGCCTGGGCAATCTGCAGCGGGCCCTTGAGACGGTGAGTGACCCTGCGGGCAGGGAGAGTGGGGTGGAGTGGGGCAGGGCACGGCAGGGGGTGGAGCGGGGCAGGGCAGGGGGTAGAGCGGGGGCAGGGCCAGTTTTTGGGCACTCGGTCTCTAAAAGGTTCGCCATCATTGGCATATGGTGTTGTTTGATGGAGCAGAAGAATCAGCATGTATAAGTTAATGCAGGAGAGGGATGAAGTCACCAAAGAAACCAAGATAAGAAAGGAGGAGCAAGGCCAGACCCTTACTGAATTCAGTGGGGTGAAATTCCTTTTATCCTTTAGAGAAGCTTGTGCTAAGAACTAGCAGCCCACCATCTCTCTCATTCAGTCCAAGTTTCTCTGTTCTCAAAGTTGTCTATGAACTTTCTCATTTTCAAATTAAAACATGGAATTATATTATGGAATTAAGTGCATGGCTACATTTAGCACATTGGACTGATTTACACGTAAGAATAAATCATATAATGAGTTCGTCTATACAAACGTAAAAAAAAATAAAGGATAGACATTATACTTTTGTATGTGCCATCCAAGCCTATTCTAATTGACAGGATAAGTGGCTTCTTGACAGCCATGACATGTAGAGTACAGGTCTGGCTTGAATAATTCTTTAACAAATGCACAATGAAAATGGTGCATTATTTTGCAAAAAAAAAAAAAAAGAATTCTGTCACAGAAAAATGTATGCAATATCAAGCTTGCAATACAGATACAGTATATATTTTACGGTGGGCAAGAGGATATCCAGGCAGTTTGTTCTACTTGTGATTTTTCCTCCCCTACATAGCATAGTGGAAAACTAGCAAATATTCTGTATATTCTTTCAAGTCACATGCATTATTAATACCGAAGAGCTATTTCCTTACCTGGGATCAAGGGTCAGATACTGAATCATTACCATTTTTCCCCCTTTTCAGACTTGCAGCATATCCCACAAGATGAAAGGGTCTCCATGGGCCTTAATGGGGACCTTTACTTTGCAAATGTGGATGAAAATGACAGCCGTAGTGATTATTGCTGCTTTGCTGCATTTCCAAAATTAAGAACTATTGTACAGAAAATGCCAATGACGTTGACGGTTACACGTTGTAAGTCTGGGAAATTGGTTCTCTTCTTTCCTTCTTCATTTCTTCCTCTATCTCCCATCTGCTCTAATGTCTGCTTCCAACCTTTGATTCTTTTGGTAATTCTTACATGTGACATGAGGGTGTTTTTTTTTAATCATCATTTTTGCTGAAGAAATATATGCAAATGTATTCAGTTCCACACTGCTGTCGTAGTGATGACAGCTAGGCCCAGCTCATAAAACTGCTGCAGCTGTTAGCTCGCCAAAAGATTTCTCTTGTTTTGTTCTGAACCTCAAAACTATAAAAATCTAACCCTGATTTGGATGGAAATCAGCTTCTTTTCAGAGGCACCAAATGATAATTTCCTTTTAATATAAATGGGAACTGAGAGTAATGTGTGCTTTCCTGTTGAACTAGCATGTGGTATATTATTGAAGGCACTTGTCAGCAATATATCTACCCATTTTATTTTCTCTTGGATGGAAAAAAAATCCATCAAAATGAGAAGACAGAATGATTTGTGGTGATGGAGCTACTGAGGGCCACTAGAAAATTTGAGAGACTTCATTTGAAACTTCCTCCTTTTTTCTTCTTGATTGTCACATATAAATTGATTGGTTCTTATCCTCCTTTATAAGTTATAGAACAAATACCCACCTCAGTTTCATCCTGAATGATTCCTCATTTAGGTAACCACTTTGGGGAAGTGTTAAAGTAATGTACACTCTTGGTGACCACCTGAATTTCACCTGCTTCCCCCCCCCCCCAAATGTGGAATTAATTTGTTATTACCTTCTGGGATTGATTTTCACTTAGTTTTATTTTTAATTTCCTAATGTAGTCCATAACTGGGATTTTCTGATGATATATCATCTGAATACTAACTGAGTTTCCTTGCTTACCTTCTATGAGCTCAGTGAAGTTTAGCTGAGGGCTACTACCTATGACTGATAAACTGTCAGAGTATGTTGCTGAAATAGACTTTGATTATGTCTGGTGTCTTGCCAAATTGGACTCTGTGGCAACATAAGATTGCCTTGGATAGCAGTTTTAATATCACTACTACGATACTGACTACATTCTTAGGTGGTTCATGACAGCTGACCCATATAATCCACAAATGTTCTTAAGATACTGCCTCACTTCTACATCCTTCAAAATCTTATTTATTGCCAAAGCCATACATGAACTTTGCTCACAACCCACATTATTGTATAACTACATTTGAACAATATGATGGGATAAGATATTACCCATTTTTTAAACACGAAACAACTTCTAACTAAACAGAAGAAGCTTAAACTTATTATTTCTGATTTTTTTTGCATTTACAGTTTAGATTTAGCCCAGTTCAATAAGATAGGATTTTCATCTTAATAATCATGTATAGGATTGTACAAAATATTGACATATACATAAAATATTGAAAAGACTAAACTATTGTGTGAAAATAAATAGGTTCTCCACTTATCTCAAGAAAGATAGGATTAAATTATTTCCCTAGTAATTAATTTTTAATGCAGAATAAAATTCTTTTCTACCATAGGACAATTCACCTAACTTTGTTTAAGTCAGGAATAATCTGTTTTCATTTTATTAAGATATAGTTCAGGATAAATTTTACATTATTTTATCATTGTCAGCCTTGGTTCTTCTACCCACTGTGATTAGAAAAAAAATCTAAAAAATGAGACATAATTTGTTTAACACATCTGTATGTCACTGCAATAGAAGAAGTAATGAGGGGCTCACACAGGACAAAAAGTAATATAAAACAATCCACTTAGAAAAACAATAGCATATAGCAATAACACTAAGATTTATATACTGCTTCACAATGCTTTACAACCCTCTCTAAACAGTTTACAAAGTAAGCATACCCCCCCCCCCCAAACAATCTGGGTCCTCATTTTACCAACCTGGGAAGGATGGAAGGCTGAGTCAACCTTGAGTCACTCAGGATCAAACTCCTGGCAGTGGGCAGAGTCAGCCTGCAATACTGCATTCTATCCACTGAGCCACCACGGCTCTTCAAAACAAAACAATTCTATGATATTAGAAAGAAAATAAACTATGGTAGCGTGAAACCAAAACACAATAAAAGATCATCACCAAAAGCAAAACAAATTCAACATTAGCATCTCACAACCAATTAACTGCTACCCCAGTACTGATTCCTATGTTGTCATAGGCAAACTGCTGCCAAATGATAGTATCCTTATGTACTGAGTGCAAGGCATGTTCTCCTTCCCTCCCTTCAAACAACAGTTGTTCCAACAGTTGCTCCTGGAAAAACATCTACTACTTTGTCTCCTTAAAATGGATTGGAAGTGGAGAGATGAGGTGAGATGTGATGGATGGCTAGACTGAAGGTTCATCCCAAGCTTGTAGAACTGTTTTTGGTTGTTTTTTTTGTATGAGCCAAATAAATCCACCTAATAATAGCAATAGTATTCAGGTTTACATATTGCCCCATTGCCTATGACAACATAAGGATCAGTAGTGGGGCAGCAGCAAAAATTGAAGCTCCAGTTAACTTGTGAGATGTTGAATTTGTTTTTCTTTTGCTGATGATGCTTTTATTGTGATTTGGTTTCACAAGAGTCTTCTGAAAGTGGAGCAGGCTTCAAGTATCAGTCAATCAATAAATAAAATCTTCTGCCTGCTGAAGGATTGGCAGAAAGGGCTTTAAATGAGCCATGATGGAAGAGCATTCTTTAAAATATTAGCTAAATATGAGATCTTTGGGTATTTGCATCATTTGTATATGTGTTCATTATCACTATGCATGCTTGCATTGCATCTTCGGCAATTATGGATTTTGTTTTAGATGGAAATAATACGATCTCAGTCCAGAAGATGAGCAGAATACTCTAGTTGTATTCAAATAGCATCCTTCCCCATCCCATTTTTACAAAGGAGGACACTTTTAGCAATTTCAGTTTCATGCGACATGGATAGAACAAACGAAGTTCACCTTGCAAATGGGTCTGCGTCAGCATAATCTGAATTCTTTACTCAGTCTGATTATATTCATCATTTATTTGATAAATTTCATCACCATTCATGTTTCCATTTGGTCTCCATTTCTGTCTGTTGCAGTAAAATATACTAATGATTCCAGTTCATCTAGTGCAGCCAAGGGTAAGTTGTTACTGTTTAACATTTCATGCCTCAATTCAGTTTAAAATGAATAAAAGATGCTACTTAAAATATATTGCATTTTACACAGAAATATGCAAATGACAGGATGTATGTATGTGTGTGTGTGTGTTTGTGTGTGTGTGTCAGTTTCCCTCCATATAAGTGAAAACAGTAATTTGGTATGATTACCCAATAAAACAGGAATAGAAAACTCCAAATTTTGGATCTAGTCCAAGCTGCCAAGATTCCCCATGTAGCCCAACGTTCTCCAATAAGATTGATTATTGATTGTGTGCCACCATGTTGTTTTGAATTTCTAATGACCATATAGATTTCCTTCAAAATCTCTAATAAGAAGCGGAACCCAAAGGATACTTTCCCAAGCCTCTTCCTGCTTATAATTTCCATGTTCCTTCCATGTTCATAGGGAAAAAAAACAATTTAATCTCTTTTTGGAAATGTTGTGAGAAACTATAATTAAACTAGCTAATTGGAAAGATGAAGAATATAACTTTTCTTTAGGCCAGATGACACTGAGGGGTAGAGCCTCAGGAAGAGGAGGTCCTTCTCTCCCCCACTTATCTCTAAACCCTGCAATTATCCAACATTTCTTCCTCCTCCTAACCTTCTTATCATAGGAGTCTACTTGAGGATGTTGCCATTTCTTCTCATTTTCAAAGCTTGTACCTTTAACTTGAAGCCCACAAATTTCACAATTAATTCTATTTCTACTATTCCTACAATGTCAAGAATATACTGCACTCATACATTTTATCCACAAATTACAATTAACATACCACATTCTATTGTATAGTATTTTGTTTGCAAACTTTAGAAGTATATTCTAAAGCAGCTGAAAAAATCAACCCAGCAGGAAAGAATATCCTATTATAATATGTAGATAACATGTAGAACATATGTGAATGAATTAGCACTGTTATTTTTATTGAACATTCCTGATAAAATCAGGAAGAGTTGAATTAATCTTCTTTCAAAAGTTCTGAAATTACTTTTCTCCCTTTTAGCAAATTTAATCAAAGAAAGAAAACCCAAGCTTCTTGTCCCTGAATCTTCTGGTCCCAGTTCAGAAGTGACATTTATGAAAGGAATGGATCTTTTTCTGGAATGTATTGCTGAAGGACTGTGAGTATTCATATTTTATAACTTGACTTGAAAAATAACAGCAAAGAAAAAAAAAACCACAGCAATATAGTCCTCAACTTATAACAAATCTTTGACTTGTTCAAAATTATAACAGCACTGAAAAAAGTGAGGTATGGCCATTGTGATCAAACTGGTTGGCAGCCGATTCATATTTATGATGGTTCATAAATATGTGGGGTGATGTGATCACCTTTTGTGACCTTCTGACAAGCAAAGTCAATGGGGAAGCCTTATTCACTTAACAATAATGTTACTAACTTAACAACTGCAGTGATTCACTTAACAACTGTGGCAAAAAGGTCATAAAATGGGGCAAACCTCACTTAACCATCTTCCTAAATTTTGGTCTCAATTGCAGTTGAGGACTACCTGTTAGTAACAAAGAAGCAAAAGTAATTTATTTATTTTTTTTTAAAAAAAAGATACCTAAAGTTACAGAAAGATATTGTAAATATTTGGGCTTCGTCAGCCCTATTATATTTTTAGGAACTTGGAACTGATAGTAACCTGACCATTGGCATGTTGCCATCCCAACAGGTGGACACAAGAATAAGCTGACGTGATTCTGCTCTGTTTATGCCATGCACAGTGTTGGCAATAGCAAAGCCAGCTGGAAATGCTAAGTTAGCAGCCTGGCCTGAATGTCTCTCTTTCTTGTTATGAGAATTCACAGTTATTCTGCAAAACACAAAGTTCTTTTTATATTTAATCGTTTGGAGAATTTGTGCTGGCTAGGAAGACAAAGAATTGATTATTGCCCTTCCAGCAAAATCTTTAACCCCATTTATGATTATAAAGCCATTGTGGACTAGATGAAATAAGCTCAAGTTCTTAGTAGCATTCTAGACTATTTTTAATCTATAGTAGCCGATCGATAATGCTGTGTATATTTTTACTTATTTTGAAAAAAAAAGACAGTATAGTTTCCAGGAAATACAAATCCCATAGGTTTTTGCAACAAAACAGGCACATGGTTATATGGCTGGTGATTTGTCTTAGTGTGATAGACAAACTGAGTCAGTTTGCTTAGAAGAGCAAACATGTTACCATTATGTCACCAGCATGATTCAGAATTCAGATACATATTAATGAAGAGATCTTTAAAAAAATTGGTTAAAAGTGCATTTTGCTGAACTGAACCCAGTTACCACATATACAACAGTTTCTTCCATTGTTTTTTTCCCCTAATATACATAAAAGAATCAAAGTGTTTCAGCTATTTCCTCAGAGGAGAGCAAAGATAGCAGATTTTAATTATTTAAAATTTGGGCAAAATTATTCCAAATACAAAATGAACACTACAGTATAAATTAAATGAAGCCTCCAATTAACTGTAACTGTGGATATTTGGTATCTCCGGCTTGTGATGACTTTGCTGTTCCTGAGATTGTGGAAAATAGGAACCATATTTTGCTGGAGGACCTGCTTTAGCTAAGAGGAGGAGAGAAGGTTTGAAAATGTGTATATAGCAATGAAAAGTTTGATAAAAATGGCACTTCAGATAATTTGTGGAGCTTAATTCCTTAACTTAAGCAGAGTTTGCAAATAAAAGAAAAAAGGAAAAGGAAAATCACAGTGGGAAAAAGGGAGAATATACTCTCTATATTTGGTATTTATTTGTTTGTTTATCAATTTTTAAAACCACCCATCTCCCTCACAGAGCCTTTGTATAACCTGCCTTGTACTGTTCTCAAGAGAGCATTCCCCTCAGTTTTATCTTAATCCACAAAGAAAAAAGATAAAGAGGTTTTGCATTTTAGTACTCTTTTCTGCTTGTCTTTTTCTTTGTGGCAGCCATTTTCTCTTAAGTACAGTGGAAACTTTTGTTGAAATCATCACCAGTGACTTTCCGCATTTCTAATATGCTTCAGTTCTGGTGGTGACCTAAGATTATCCTTTTTTTTAAAAAGACTGTCATTTCTCAACTAAACCCAAGAGGGCGTAGTAATTTGTTCAAAAAATGCTGCAGCTAGCTCTGTGGCCCTCAACTCTATGGTTTGACAGTGCAGTAATATTCACATTTTCTGCTTTTAGCAAGCTAGCAGATTCCGAATCTTTGCATGCCTAAATACACGTATTGTTGCACACAGTTTATCTCTGATACCCCATGCTCTTCATGGCACAATAGGTGAACTGACTGTGTTCATTATGATTTGCTTGTAAATATATATATTTTGAAATAATGCATATTTTGAAATAATGATGTGTTGTTGACTTATAGGTGGCAAATATGGAATAAGAAATAAGTATGGGGAAGAATACTTTAATTGCAATTTTCCTGGGTTATTCCTAATCAGTGTTTAAGCTTCACTTCATGCCCAGTTCTTTGATGCACAAGACAAGAACACAGAGAATTTGTAAAACAAGCAATGATTTTACTTGTCTCCAAAACCATTGCAGCTTTTAAGGGATATGCCACAGCTTACTGTGATATATAACATTTATTTATTTACTTAAAGAAAAGATTTATATGGCCATTCAACATTATATATAAGCATTAGTTGGCATCTACATAAGGTAGAACTCTTGAACGGAGGGGGGGGTAAAACCCATGTTATTTTTTAACATAAATATTTTCTTTCTTTTTTAAATTTATCCTAGCCCAACACCCCATTTAACATGGAGAAGGATTGACAGAGGCAGCATTTTCAGAGGAGTCACTGAGACTTTTGGAAAAGTTTTGAAAATAGAACAAGTTACTAGAGATGACGAAGGAACCTATGAATGTGTAGCCTCAAATGATTTAGGAGAAACAAAGCATGAGTTCAAAGTTGGTGTTGAAGGTAGGTTCAGTTATCCCGAAATGACTGTATTAGGAAAATTGTGTGTGTGTGTGTGTGTGTGTAAGCTTTTCAGATAGATATATTATTCTTATTCATATCCAAATCCCATCTGGTGCTGGTTTTGAACCTGGCAATCCAAACTCTAGGTAGTTTTCTTACCTAATAAATATTACTCTTGCTTTTCAAAATAACAACAACAACAGCAACAACAACAACAACAACAACAACATTTATTTAAAAGCCTGATGGTCTAACATGAAATTACTTTTAACATGATTGTACACTATAACCATTTAAGACTGTTTTTGGTAATATACACAGTATACTTAATATTACAAAACAGTTTCTAATTGCTCATTTCTACTATTACATGAATAAAACCTTTTATTTATTTATTTTTACTCCTTATACAATTTCTGATAAAAATACAATTCAATATAGGGTGTACATTCTATGGTTATTTCAGTTTATCTGCTATGTAAGATTTTTTATATATATAAATTATATAATTATGTTAAAAATTCAAATCCTGGGTAAAGCCATGCAGTAAAAAAATAAATAAATGTGAACACCAGGATAATATCAAACTAAAAATCGTTTAATAAAACGCTGAGCTTTCGTCGGTCAACACTACCGCCATCATCAGAGCATAAGAGTAGGTCAATGGGAGTCCCCTTTTTATAATACTGGCCAGTTTTGCGCACGGCTCCTGGACCTGGTCATCGGTCCATCCAACATCCTTAATTGTTTAACTCCTAGGGGGCACGCATTGGCTGTTCCCTTGGTGTTTTTCAAGGCTGCTATTCCATTATCCACTTTTCTTCCTCCAATCCCTCCCCTCGTGCATGCACCGCTGTCTGTTGTCCCACCATTGATTACTAAAGCTGCTGTTCTCCCTTCCCCCCTTCTTTGGCCGGTCGCTTTCTTCGTGTGTGTCCAATTATCTGCTTCCACCCCATTGAGTCTCGGGCTTGCTGCTCTTTCCTCCCCCTGTTTCCTTTCGATCGTTTTCCTCATGTATCTGTAGTCATCTGCCGTGTCTCCATTGGTTTTTGGAGTCGCTTTTCTCTCCTTCCCCCCTTTTTTAGTATTCGTTTTATTCATATGCCTCCAACCATCGCATTGTGCTAAACGCTCTAGTTCATTTCCTCTCTTCACCCCCATCCCGGATTGTATTCGTTCCTTCTCTACGGGGCTGTCAATGTGCTGTGTGTTTAACCCGGTCCTCCTGCTCCTTTGCCCTGTTGTTCCTGCGCGTGTGTGGGCATTTCCAGAGTAGTCTGCCAAGTGTATTCAGATGTCTGTCCCGGGGGCTTCTGGCAGATACGTTCTTATATTCGCTCCTCTGCTGGGGGGGCGTTGTTTCACTCCGGGAGTGCTCCAGGGCATCCAGGGGACCTCCTTCCCGCTGTTCACTCTGATCCTTCTCTTATCCATTGTTCGTAATCCTCGCCTCCGCACCACCAAACCATCTGCAAACTGCCCATTGGACTCTGCTCCCCCATTTAGTAACTCTCTTGCTTTTTTTGCTCGTGTGCAAGCTCCCAAAGGGGAGTCCTCTGCCGATCGTTCGCAGGTACTCATTGCGAGGTTGTCAGTGAGTTGTGGCATTACTTTCACCCCATCCTCTCCTAACTCCGTGGGGTGAGTTGGATTGTGTATGTCTAAAACATTTTTGGGGTGCACTTTCTGTCCCCCTTTCTCTATTCCCCTTTCGGTATGCACTGTTAGTCTGTTGTTACTTTGGCAGGTTGTTCTCTCTATTGCCATATTTCCCTGACCTTGTGACGGATGAGTAAATTGCTTTCATTGGGATTCATGGCGTTGTTTGTCCCATGTTCTCAACGTCTGATGTGCTGGGCAGAGTTCTACATGGCGGTTTACAGAGTTCTCATCAGAGAGCCAAGCCTCTTTAAGTAGGCAGCCTTCTTTGGTGGCATCCCTAGATAAGGTTTGTACATTAGCAAGATCGAACTTGTGACCAAAATTGGAAGGAAAGAGCAGCAAGCCCGAGACTCAGTGGGGTGGAAGCAGATAATTGGACACACACGAAGAAAGCGACCGGCCAAAGAAGGGGGGAAGGGAGAACAGCAGCTTTAGTAATCAATGGTGGAGGAAGAAAAGTGGGTAATGGAATAGCAGCCTTGAAAAACACCAAGGGAACAGCCAATGCGTGTCCCCTAGGGACACTACTCTTATGCTCTGATGATGTCAGTAGTGTTGACCGACGAAAGCTCAGCATTTTATTAAACGAGTATATATATATATTATAGAAAACTATTCTGAAAGCTAACAAATTAAAATCTTCTGAAATGGTTCCATACATTGATCAGTATACATCAAATCAAATCTTAATTAAAGTCAAAGACCAGCATAATGATCAGTACAGTGTATTTGATTCTCGGCTAAAATCAATCATTTTTTTCACACATATATCATTTCTATGGAACAAATCATGCACAGCTTATATGTTAAATTACAGCTGTCTCATCTGAAACAAATCATATTGGCTATGAAAGTTTTCTCCTCACATCAATTGTTTTGCACAAATATTTGTTGAGAAAAAACATATGTCCTCTCCCCATATGTTCTGATGTGCAGAATCAACATTTATGTCTATTCTCCACACAATACTTATTTTAAAGGATCATTGGAATCACAATTTTTTGAAGATACTTCAAAATAATTATTAAATATCTATAGTTTCCTCAACTGCAATTGGAAGAGGGAGCCCTTATAAAATTTGTTGTGGATATGCAACACCATTACCAAGGAATTCCAAAGTCAATACAGCGACATGTGAATGAACATGCATAGAACTGCATTTTTTGCATAGTGAAATTGAAATAAATAACTCTAATGAAGAGCTCTTGTGCTAAAATCATTACAATTGTATTACTGATGCACAAAAACCTCACAAAATACATTGTATCTTTATTTTTGTGCTTCTCTTTTCCTGCGACAAATTGTACTGTACCGAAATTTTCTTGTACAGCTTTTTAACTATTCACTTTCCCCTATAAAGAAGAAAAATGCTCATGATAATGTCCAGGATTGTGGCTTGTATTGTAATGGAAGACATGTAACAATTTCAATACATTCATTTCACCAGAGAGCTTCATGAAACTTCCCATGAATTTTTTTGGGATCAGACATCAGGGAAAACCATGCCAGACAGGCTGTAGAATAAGAAAGAAATTAGGGGAACTAGGAAATACAAAACTGCTTGTGTTTTATATATAGGGAAAGAAAACTGTTAGGAAAGCCAGATAGATTTTGGAACAGTTTTGTCTTGCTTCATTGAATAGAATAATTTATGATAGTCTGTGATCTGCCGTGCTTTATTTTTAAATTTTTCATCTTCTTACTCTAATTTTTTTTTCTGGTGATTCTTTTCTTATAAGATAAATTATTTAGAAAATGACCTAGACTCTATGTTTTATCTCCAAATAGTACAAAGAAAGTAATATAGAAGTATTATCTTAAATATATATTGTAGGATTTTCTGATTCTAAATCTTTCTTTCTTCAGAGACCAACACTGTTCACATATTAATCAAGTAGGCCTTGGCTTCCCTCAGAGTTACATTCAGAGTAATGGACTAATGGGGTAATAAGTGTCTGATAGAGCCGAACATCTGTTAAACATGAATGGAGCTTTATGCATGCATATTTTACATAATTGTATATGTGCAAAATGATAAACTGGACATTTTTTTCATTTATTTATTAAACTTCTACATGGCCCATCTCACCTAAGTGACTGGGCTGTTATGCCTGTAGGGAGCTATACAGTGAATAGGCAATTGTCAGTCACATTCAAAATATATTATACAAGGTTCATTAAATGGAAATATTGCTATATAGCACTGAATAAGTCAATTACCAGGATAGATGCATCATGCTAAGACACTTTGTTTAGGTTAGCACAATATGTCCAAACAAAGAAAAACTCATGGTTCAGTGTAATGTGTGAACCCAGTTAGAGACAGCATGCTAAAAATACAGGGCTTTTGGAGATAGGGAGTAGGGACAGATAAGGAAGCAGACCTAAAAATGATTAAGCACCTGCACTTTGTCATTATTTTTTCCAGATTGTGAGGTTTATGGCTGGCCACTGAGGATTTTTACACACATTTGCAGCCATTATGCATCTGGCATTTTGTGCAAATTTGCCATAATAATTAGAGATACATCTTAGTTTTTCTTGACATAATCAACTGTTTGACCTAAGAAAAATGAGCAAAACATTAAAATGAATATGTATGTTTCTTGTTTGGTAATGATGTATAGCCTACTCCTCTTACTTTCTCAGTACTAGAGGGAATTTATAGATAAAAAACGCTTTTCAAGTAATGTTCTTCTTATTTAAAAAGACCACTTTTTAAGCATATGTGTAATAAAATTACTTATGCTTTTTCATTGGACTTTATAGAGTATATATGTGTGTGTGTATTTGTGTTGGGCAGGCATGTATGTGCCCAAGAAAATTAAAGATGCTGCATAGGGTATGAAAATATCTCTACAATTCAAATTGCTGACTACTAGATATAATTCCAGATGGCTTAAAATATCTCTACAATAGCTGTCTATTTTAACAATCTGGAAGAAGTGCATGAAAACATACTGAAAACGTAAAGTGTTCAAACTAAATGCAAGAGCTGCAAAATTTACCAATTGGCTAAGGAAATCAGTGTAATTAAGCGGCATAGAATTATGGTTCCAAATTCAGTCAAAAACCATTGCTCTATTAAGTAGGATACAGCAGATGTATGTACATCTGCATTTCCTTAATGCCAACATAGAGCAATATCATGAGCAATAAAAGCTGCTAAACCAGCTCAGTGGGATTGACAAGATTTCTACTTATTCTCAGAAGTTTTCTAAGCAACCTCTTTCCTCCCAACCCCCCCCCCCCATGTCCAACTCCTTTCCATTTCTTACAATTGTGGACTGCAAAATTGTCAGTACCATTAATCAGAGGTGACATCTCCATCCCTT